CAGTGGTCTGGCCATTGCCTCAGGCCTGCTGTATGGCTGTCAGTAAGTCTTTCACCCTAGGCTCAAGCCTGTCTCCCACAAGAGCCTTGTTAGGTAGCCTGAGCTGGTCTTGAGATGTCCTTCCTGACTCAGCCTCCAGAGTGCTAGGGTTACAGGTATGTGCTATCATGTCTGACTTGTGCTTTTTTTAAAAAAATTGTGGGGCTGGAGAGATGGCTTAGAGGTTAAGAACACTGGTCGTTCTTGCAGAAGACCCGGGTTTGAATCCCAGCACCCACATGGAAGCTAACAACTGTCCATAACTCCAGTTCCAGGGGATCCAACAGCCTCTTCCTTCCTCCACGAGCATTGCACGACAGGGGTGCACTTACTTACACGCAGGCAATGCACACATACACATAAAAAAAAAATAGATATACAAAAAATTGTGGTGGGTGTGTGTGCCTTTAGTGTAATTCTTTTATGTTGAATTGGTTGTGTGTGCTTATTGAAAGGCATATTTTTGTTGTGCTGCTCTGACACCATCAAGTTGAAAGTGTGACAGTGCAACGTGATTGTTTTTCAGATATACCTATGGGAAGCCAGTGAAGGGGGATGTGACACTCACATTTTTACCTTTATCCTTTTGGGGAGAGAAGAAAAATATTACCAAAAAATTTAAGGTAACTTTTGCAGATATTTTATAATTTACAATGGGGACTTTTTAAAATAGTGATTTAAAAAATTAATTATAGGCCCTAGCTAGGTGAGTAGGTGCACACCTGTTATCCCAGGACACTGGGAGGTGGAAGAAGGACGATCAGGAGTTCAAGGCTAGCTTCTGTTATGTAGCAAGTCTGAGGCTAGTCTGAGCTGCCTGAGACTCTGTCTCAAAAATAAAAGCAAACAGAGGCTGGAGAAATGGGTCAGCAGTTAAGAAGACTGACTGCTCCTGCAGAGGATTCAGGTTCAGTCCCCAGCATGCACATGGCAGCTAACAACTGTGTGTAACTGTAGTTCCAGGGAATCTGTCACCTTCTTCTGACCTCCAAGGGCATTGCAGGACAAGGGTGCACCTACCTTCATGTAGGCAATACATTCATACACATAAAATAAAATATTAAAAAAATAAAGATTTGCATTAAAAATAATAAAAAGTAGGCAAACAACAAAATTTAATTATAGGAATCACAGGAGAATGTAGTCTTTATTTAAAGTTTATGCCCATTTCCAACATACTGATACAGATAACTTTAAAGAATTTATGATTCAGATCACAGCAAGAAAATTTTTTTTTTCTTAGAAATAAGATTTTTTACTGAATAAACAGAATAAGATTGTAAGA